GGACTGGTCTCTCCTTCTTTGCCTCAGCCCCTATGGTCAGAGTAACAAGAAGGGAAGGTTAATGATTTATAAGGAAGGAGGAGGACAGGCCAGAGATCTGAAGTGACAGCATTCTTCACAGTTCAGGATTTACCACTGATCTTCCATTTACTCAGCAGTTCTGCTGTCCTCAACGACTCTGAACCTCATAGACCCTCACCTAGGAAGCAAACTTCCCCTAATGAGTCAGGTCAATGCTTGCCATATCAGGAGCTGAAGCTGCTCTGGCGAGCTGATGGAGAGGCTGACCTCTGGACACATGCACCACCAACACTGCATGCTGTAAGCTCTGCTGTAGAAGATCACTCCAAGCAACGTGGTTATGGCACACAGCAAGATGGGGCAAAAGCGTCCTCTTCTGTTCCCCATTACAATGGAAAACATCCAAGGAGTCCTTAAAATAACCACACAGGACTGAGCAGTGGAGGGCAAAGAGAATGTCTGGAAGAACCTTTGTTTTTTTCTTTTGGACATCAAAGGATGCTATACTGAAGGGAACTTAAAGACCAGGCAGTCCAGCCTACTCATTTCCCAGACAAGAAAAGTGAAGCCCAGAAACAGATGGGCTGCCTCCTCTAGTCATATGGGGCTTAAAAATATATATGTCTATTTATTTTTTATGAGCTTTCATGAAAGTGACCAGTGTACCTCATTTCCTGCCTTCTCAAATACAGGATCCCACCCAATCTAACTATTATTTATAGTATGAACAAACCTTCTACTTCCCTACTGTCCCATCAGGTGGAACCCCGCTGTACACTTTCCCCATCATCCACTTGTACCTTGTGAAAGTTTCCATCCTTTAGTGATGACTCCAAACATTATCTTCGTATGTAGACATTTCCCTACTGAATTAAAATTCCTCCTGTCAACCTCAATCCTATCCCCAAAACAACAGCTTACATGAAGGTAAATGCCTTTATGGACTAGATGGAATACTTACAAATTATGTAACTTAGTCCTTCAAATACCCTCAAGACACTGGAGACACTTTTGGCCTGTTATACAGGGAGTTTGAATCCTGTGTTTGGGGATTTTAGTTAACACAGCTCCATAGCTGTGATAATTTATTAAAAAATATGGTCCATATTAATATGCTTATAAGGAGAGGAAAATCTATTCCCTAACATTTTTTTTGCCTTAAATATCCTTCAAATGGAAAAGGCTGATTAATATAGAGACACTGAAGCTTCCTAGCTAATGGATACTGAACCTCTAAATTTTCAAATCCTCACTAAATTGAAGTTTAGCTCAAAGTATAAAAAGCACTGCTGCCTAAACTTTAATTTCAAGGTGTGTTGAAAGTATGTTGGAGTCCGTTCTTTCAGATTGAAGTTCAACAACAGCATGGATACCATGCCTTTATCTTGCTATAGTCTATAGCTATTCATGGTAAAGCAGGCAAGTGGTATAAACATTTTCTTTTTTTGAATTATAACAGTGGCTGACTGGTGCCCTATTCCCTCCTATGAATATTTAACCTGTCTTTGCCCTTGAATACAACATTTAGGGTTTGTATGGCTTTTCTTAGAAATAGCTTTGTATTTTTCCATGGGTTATATGAAGAATAAATATTGAAAATGACCATTGTCATTTAAGAAGTGAACATGAAGGAATTGAAGGAATAAAAAGTTTCTATAAAGATGGGAAGAGTCTACAGTGGGGTGGAGTGGCTTTTCTCTTGGGATTAATGAAAAGTTTTCCTTTGGGGGAGTTCTGTTGGAGGTGCTGGTTTTCCTTGGATCTTAAATGTTCTCCAATGGTGCATATATTAAATGTCTTGTCACAAGCCTGTGGTGTTGTTGGGGATGGTAAGACCTTTAACAAATGTGGCATAGAGAAAGGAATTTAGGTAACTGGGGACATGACCTTCTGGGGGATATTGGTAGTTTTCTCTATTCTTGACTAGTTCTTTGCTTCCTGCTCCTATGAGGTGAGCAACTTTGCTCCACCATGTGCTCCTGCAATGGTATTCTCTCTCTCCAGAGGCCACAACATTACAGTGAATGACCATGGACTGACACCTCTGGAACCATGAGACAAAACAAACCATCCCTTCTTATAAGTTGACAGCAAGCTGATTTGCACACTGATAGCACCTGTGCCCTCAAAATGTTAAAGCAACAAAAAACTAGTTGGATCCACTCTTGCTCTCTGGTACTTGACAATGGATCTGAAAGTCAGACAAATGAAGTTTGTGAGAATCTGTTCTTCATTGTGTTTTGGCCTTTCCACATTAGCAAGTAGCATCTCATTCATGTGATGCCTATTATAAAGAATGGTCCAACCAAGAACCCAGCATGTATACATGAGCTCTGGGAGTTAATGCTTCATCATCTGGCTACAGGGAATGGTGCACAAGAAATAATCTTCTCCTAGAATTTTCCCAGGATGCAACCTTCTAAAAACATCTCTTAATTAAAAAGAATAGAATTATGTGTTTTTCTTTCACCAATTCAGAAGAAAGCAGGTTTAAACTGATCTTTAGAATCAATGTTGTAATTGTTTTCTTGCCATTAAGTATATTACATTTGTCAATTTAAAAAAATCCAAGTCATGACTGAGAGGCCAGGACGGAGAAACTAGAATAACCATATATGCACAAACATTCATCTTCTAACAGGAACAATATGTCAAATCATTACACATCTGTACAGAAACATTAAATTCTAATCCTTCTTGTGTGGATGTTGAGAGTAGGGTTTTTAGGCAAAGAGACAACTTTCCTAAGAATAGCAAGAACTTTTGTTTGACTCTGTTTTCTTTAGGATCCTAGCTTTAGAAAGTAAATGTAGAGACCGAAACTTTTGGGAGATTGAAAATATAAGCAAGAAAGTTTCTGCAGAAAAGAGAGAGGAGAATGGGTAGAGGAGATATTGTCAAAGTTTATTATATATTTACATGAAAATGTCCTTATGAAACCTATTACTATGTACCATGAATAAAGCACCAAGACAAAAGGAAACACTCTCTACATTAATTCACTGGATATACTTATTTACACAAGCCAGTAAGCAATTACAGACTTACATGAAGATATTCAGTTGCTGCCTTTTTTCCCCAAAGAGGCTAACAGTAGGTTCAAGTTTTACTCTTGACTGGATAAAAACTGAGGTACAGACAGCAAGTAACTTGCCCTTAAGAAAAGTTGTGTCGAAGGGAACTATCACTGCAAAGTGCTGTGGAAAAGTTCTCCCTGGTGATGTTAATTTTAACAAACTTTATCATAACGAAGAAACACATTTAACTCATGGACTTTTTTTTATAACAGTTCTCAGTATGTGCAAAGTAAAATCTGATGATGTCTCCAAATAGTCTTTTCCCTCCCCCTTTTTAAAATAAAAGAACTCCAAGGGCAGAGTGGGAAGAAGGCTTAATGACAAAAATATAAAGAGTAGGATTCTTATTATCTTTAACCAAGAATAAGTTGAATTTCCCAGTATCTTACCTTTTGAAGATTTTAATTCTTAAGAAACCAAAGATGTGTTAAAATTTAATATAATGTTGTTCCTCTAAAAAATATTCTAGTACTTGAGAAATCAGTTTAAGGTTTAAAATAATGCTGACTATCAATCAATGACAATTACTTCTCCCTTCTATGATCACTTTACTTTGGTAAACAACTTTTCTCAATACTTCTCTGTTGTGCAACAGTTTCCTTGGAGGTTGAGACATTCCACCTGGAAAGGGAGCTCCTTAAGCGGAAAGGTATGTAACTCAAGAGCTCCAGGAAGTCCCTGAAACTGACCAGATTCCCTAGGCCTCTCACTGCTAGAGTAAGCAAAGTTGAGACTCTCTCTGAGACTGGCCGAGCTAAACTGCAAAGACTTTCAGATGAGCAAGGCTGCAAAGAAGATCCTAAAACCAGAATACCTGCCTGGGAAAAGCAGAAACTAGCCAAGCTGTCTGAGTGGTTTAGACCAGAATCACTTGGAAAGGATATTCTCCAACCTGTTGAGCAGGATGTGCAGTGTGCTCCAGCTTCCCAGCCTTTTGGGAGCTGCTAGGGTGGACCTTGATGATGCAGCTGTTTTTCCTTTCTCTTTCTGTAATTAACCCCTCACTCACATTGTTGTAAGTAATCAGGTAAAACTCATTGGTTCACCAAGTTGGACTTTGGTACTATCTGTGATCTGTCATGGTTTTTCTGTCAGAGATAAGTAGACATGTGTGTTGCACCTCCACAGGAAAAGTTGGCAGACAAAAAAGACATGGGTACTATGCATTCACTCCTGGTATGTCAGCATGTTGAAATAACCCTGGTTATTTCAGACATATATGAAGAGATCAGAGTGGAAGGGAAATTAAGAGGTCATCAGGCTAAGCTTCTACTCTGAGTAGGACTGTTATGACACATGAGAGGTCACCAGACAGTACCTGACAGTGGCATGCTACTACTTCCCATGGCATTCCACTCCCGTGTTCAGAAAGTCATACTCAACATTTGATGCTTCTTCCTGATTTTGAATAAAAATCTAAGTGATCTTAATTTGGCCCATACCTGACTCCTGTTGGGGAGCATCCTTCTCTTTTCTCAGTGATAAAATTGAAGGTTTCTTTCTCAGGTTCAAGTGTATGTTCCTCTGATGACATGGACATACCTATGGGTCTTTTGTTTTGTTTCCTTGGGCCTTGGGCTCTGATCTGTCAATATGGTCCTACTCTAGGAAAGCAATCCTCCCCAGACAGGTATGGTGCCTTAACAGTTGGGAAGCTAAGGCATGGAGTGTGTGTGTGTGTGTGTGTGTGGGGGGGTGTCATGAGTTCAAGATCAGCCCCAGGGCATAGCCAGGCCTTCTCTAACAACCAACCAAGCAAAACCTTCTCAGTGTCTCAAAATGTGCTGATCTCCCTTCGAAAGAGCATGTGTGTGTTTACATTCATGCAACCTGCTCAGCTGAGTTCCTTTTGCTCATGTAGGGCTCCTTTGAGTACAACAGGCCTGTGACCTGAGGACTTACCTTTGCCAGGGTCTCATCATCCAGATGATTCTTCTGAATCACATGTTGAAGTGCAAAATAAATTTTTTCCTGAAGCTTCTGGACTTTTCTTGGTTCTATCAGCCAGGCTCGGTCTGACAAAAAAGAAAAAAAAAAGCAGAGTAAGAAAAGGGCACACACGCTTTGCTTCCTTTCCCCACATGTATGAACACAGAGTTTTGGACCCATTTTACCCAGTCATCAGTTGCTTTTGAAGATATGTAATAATTATACAAAAATAGCCTATACACAATAATGCTATGAAGTCCTTCTTTTCTTAGTGCTGGTGACTGTTAAACCTTTTCTCCTTCCTCCTTTCTTTCAAAACAGAAATAACTTAATTGAAACCATGTAGGAATACTGTTAGCAGTCACAACTCCCTTCCTTAGCGTGGGTTTTTCCTTTATCAAGTACACAGCTGACACTTACTATAATTGATAGAGCATACACATCAATTTCAGAAATGAACTCCTGAGTCTGACTTTCCTGTCACAAATTAAGTGATAGGTAGGTTAATCCCCCTCTCTCCTTCCCTTGCTTTTGTTCACTTCCATTTTTCTAGCTTTCTTTCTTTCCATTCCTTCCTCCCTTTCGTGTTAGAAACTTTATACACCATGGTGACAAAGTGTAGTCAGCCTAGTGTCATTGCCTCAGTTTGCTCAAGAGACTCTGGGAGTCTCCAAATGCTGAACAAACACTCATGGAAAAGCACTTGGCCAAGATCCTCCTGAACACAGTTCAGGTCAGGTGAGAAACTCAATTCTGTAATCCTAGACAGGGCAAGAACAAGTCAAGCTAAGAGTTAAGCAGAACCTTATGTAAGTGAGCACAAAGGACTTCAGTGACAATTGTCAGTCAGAATAAATTGAATTCCCCCATTCCCTTCCTTAAGCTATTTGGGAGTAAATAGGCAGTAACCATTAAGTCAAAAGGCTGGGGAAGAGTGGGGTGTGACCTGAGAGGACACAGATCTCTCTTCCGTCTCCTCTAAGCCTGGCACTATGTCAGGATGACAAACAGTGTATTTGATATTGCAAAGCCTTGGAGTGTGGGTCTGTGACCAAGGCTGGAAGACTTCCCCCTGGGCAGAGAGTAAGGCAAATACACGGCTCCCAAACTCTTCAGAGAATAAGGACAGCATATGGAATTTTCAAAAAGGCTAAGAGTTCAGTCAATTTCTAACTCATGGAGATCAACCTAGCCTTCTGAGATGGTCTTTTCCACTGCCCTTTCAAGCTGAAGATAGCATGTCTTCATCATTTGCTGCTAAGAGTTTTCTGAGTTCCACAAACATGCCCAGAGAGGGAATTTTTGTAAGGCTCTTCCTTTGGATGAACAGGAAATGGGGGTTGTCTTCTGTATCCATAGAACTCATCTTCCATGGAGCAGAGGTCAGGACAGACAATCAAATGCAGTAAGAACATGACAGGACATGACCTGGTATGTAGTTACTATTAAGAAGGGACTTTTGTTATTTTCCTGTCTGTGTTTGTGCTCTTGAGTCTTTCAATTTATGATGAAAAGGGTCAAATAAAAACCAGAAGCCATTGTTTTAAAGACTTGATTGGACTATCAGTGAACATATTGTGAGTAAAATAGCAAAGCACAGAGGCATCTATTTGTGATGATAGCTAAGATGAGATGTTAAAGATATGATAAACTTATAACTATGTAAAAACTACTTCTTCCAGTCTTACTGAAAAATGTCAGAATGTAAGTAAAGAGATGGATCTCAGAGAGAAATGGATTGCAGAAAGAATTAATCTTAAAATTGGGAAGGGGTGCATTCTTCATTCAGTAGTGAGCTGTCAACAGGTTATTATGCCACATATCTAACAGACAGTTGCTTGAGTGACTCTGGTTCAAGAGGGAGCACATGTTGATTGTCATATTACTTTTATTATATTATATGATTATACATCACTGAGATCTTTATTGTTACACTTAAGACAGGCCATATACTTTAAAGTACATCCATTGCTACAGTTTTAGTTGATCCATAAATGCCACTTCTTAGCTTTGGAATACAGTTTAGTATTTTACTGCCTTTTAGAGCTAGATAAGGTGTGCTCCCTCAGCCCTCATCCCATGTAGAGTCAATTGCCTTATTTTATCAATGGGGAACTACAGCTTTGGAGTCATATAGATAAATGATGGCTTGCAGCCACATCTGATATTCTTCCTCTCCACCAGGCAAGCCCTGCTCCATAGCTACCCTTCCCTTTGGCAATGCTTAATATTGCCAAGGATATTTGTCTTGAAAGATGATTGCAATGCACTGTGGGTAGAAAAGTCTAAAAATGGTAATTAAAGTCCCTACACTTGTTCTTTCATTTAGACATTTTCTATGCACTTCACTCTACTGGATTCTACATTAAAAATATATTTGCTTTATTCTTAAACTCAAAATAGAACCCAGCCACTCAGTCAAGTCACTATTCCCTTTTTATTATTTGTTGAGGAATAATTTTGCTTACCTGGATCTGGGGTGATCCCACTCACATGGGGATATTCTTGTTTTAGGGGAAAAATGGCCATTTTAATAAATGTGAGGCCACTTGCCTTTGCATTGTCCAAAAATATCAAACAATTGCTAGAGAAAATACAGTCTCTTTAAAGTTATTTCTTGACCGCTTTGGCTTGGGTAGGTGTAATTGATGTTAAAGATAGTGAAGCAGGTTTGAAAAGAAGGCAAGGGACTCGCGCCTTCCTACCTGGGGATATCAGAACAGCAGAGGAGAACAAAGCAATTTCCTCCTCAGTCAGCTGCAAGGAACATAGATTCTTCGCAAAGTCAAATGCTTCATTCACCAGGTCATCAGAACCTAAAAGGAAGGAGGAATCTTAAATGAAAATACTTGAACTCGGAATGGGGCACAGGAAGAAATATCTCATTATCAAGTAGGCACTCAAGGGTTTGCATATCAGAAACCCAAACAGGGCATTTTCAGTTCACGGTCACATGGAGTGATTTGACATTAAATGTAGAACGAGGAAACTGAGCAACACCTTTGCCAGGTAACTGAAGATAGCCTTCGTGATGAGGGGGTAAAACACTGGCTAGTGAGTACTCCGTGCCACACCAGCTGGAAACCCATAACCTGAATCCTGCAAATCTGAAAATATTTCTAGCTTGAAAGTTCGTAGGCTGGATTTGATGGCACATGGCATGTGTGTAGGATGTCTGTACTCAGAGGGGTGAAGCAGGAGGATTTCAAGCTTGAGGTCAGCTTGGGGACATGGTGAGACTTTGTCTCACACCCATAAAGTTCCACCAATGTGACGGCCTAGACATGAACTGAATAAGAACAACAAAAGCTATGGCAAAGTGGATGAGGGGGAAGCCCATGAGGCCCCAACCCTACACGGAGAACTATGGACAGTGAGGGGATGCTGAGAGTGGGAGGGACAGTCTTCCCAAGAAATGAGTACAAAGCCACATGGTCAGCCCTGAAAACAGACGCAGAAGTAATGTTACACAGACAGAGCAGGTGATATTTAGAAATATATGTATGTATGTATGTATGTATGTGTGTATGTGTGTGTGCCTGCAATGACAGTTAATGAAAAAGGTAATTAATTTGAAAGAGAGCAAGGGGGGGATATGAGAGGGTTTGGATGGAGGAAAGGGAAGAGAAAAAATGACATAATTATACTATAAGCTCAAAAAAAAAAAAAGAAAGAAAAAAATGAACAATTTTTTTTTTTTTTTAAAAATAAGGGATTTAAGAATTCTTTAGACTAAATCCCTGACTTTCAGAGAAAACCTAGAAAGATCTTCACAGGGTTCAGAAAGTGTCGTTTGCAGTGGAACATGGGGTATCCAGGGGCTTCAAACTGAGACTTCTTCCACAATGCTAACGAGCTTCCTTCATTCTGTGTTCAATGCCATCCCCCAGGGTAGACTGATTTCCATTGTCTAATTAAATGGCTCACAGGTCAGTTCCTTAGTCATTGTGAATTTTGGCAAAATAGCAATGTTATCCCTGTGCTGATCTCTGTAAATGTTTATTTGATGAAGCTGGAAATATCCTGAAGCTGCTTGCCAAGGCTTTTCCTCCTTTCTTGAAAATCTAGCCTTGAGGACATGGATGCATAGCAACTGTAGAAGGGGAATAGTGCCAGCCCATTGGGCTTGCCTGTGGCTGCCATATCAGCTAACCGCACAAGAGGTGAAAGGGCAGTGGCTTCTTTGGTGTCCATGAGTGGATATGGAGCAAGTGGCCCTATCATCTGTTCAGACCTTTCCTGGCATTAGCCCATCTTTACTAACATTCTCCTGCATGCCTTATCTGAATGATTGAATAGGAGGCTATGTGGCACCTCCAAAGATTGGTCCTGCTGGTGTGGCACACAGAATGGTCTAGGGGGTCACTCCGGTCAGGTCAGGACCAACTGTTGGTGTTCCCAGAAACTCAGAGTTCATAGGCAGATGCTCTTCTGGAGTGGAAACAAGACCAGCAACAGGCTGTTCTAGTTATTACATGTGGTTATTTCCCTTTAATTACCTTGACCAATGATTATGACTTTACTTAAGAATCTTACAGGTCACAGCTACAGACTCCCAGTGGTCTACATACTATGCTCTGTACAGCAGTAAACCAGAAGCTAGAAAAAAATGGTGGTTGTACAGAGTGACCTAGAGTAGACCCAACTCATTTAGCATCAGACTTGTTTATTTCCACAAGGCCTCAATTGTGCCAGTTTTAACAGGGCTCATGGCTCTTTCCTACCCTTCCTGATTAGGGACTGAAATTATAGGAACTGGAGAGTTAGATGAAATACTGAACACTCACCTGGTCCAATGCCAATCAAATAGTGAGATACTAGCTTAAGCCAAAGAAGCAAGGCATATCATTTGCTATTTCAGTCTAAGTGGGAAAGCTGGTGACACTTAGTAAAGCTGTGTTGTCATCTGAGGGAAACTTACCTAAGGCTTTGAACATTTGCATTCCTCCATATTTTCCTTCAAACAGAACAGTGTTGTTTAATGGGTTGAAGGCACGGCACATTCTCACTAAAACCACTTCCAAGCAACCTATGAGATAAAAGAATTCAAGATGTGTATCATATATCCAACAATAAAGTGGTTCCCAATGTGTACAGAGTTAAAGGAATTAAAAATGCATATGCATACACCATATATCCAACAATAAATTGGTCCTGGTGCATACTAGATGGGAAACATTTCAGACTTTTTTTTTCTTGATATAGCATCTCCCTATGTAGCATGCTGGCTTTAAATTCATGATCCTCCTGCCTCAGTCCCCAAGTTCTGGGCTATTCTACTAAATTTAGGAACTTTCAAGAGATTCCTTCTTTGAAGGGGGCTAGAGAGATGGTTTAGCTGTTAAGAGTACTTACTACTATTCCAGAGAACTAAAGTTGGGTTATCAACACCCATGTCAAGAAGGTCACAACTGGGGAGGAGAGGAATCCAGATGCAGAGAGGGAGGACAAGACCAGGCTGCAGAAACACATAGAGACAGCTGACCTGAACAAGAAGGAGCTAATGGACCCCCAGACTGATAGCTGGGAATCCAGTATGGGACTGACTCAGACCCCCTGAACATGTGTCTCAGCTAGAAGGCCTGAGCAGTCTAAGGGACCTCAAAGAGTGAACAAGGATCTTTCCTGGTGCACAAAAGGACTTTGCGGGCACATCCCTCATGGAGGGATACTCCCTTAACCTAGAGACAGGAGAAGTCCTAGTCCCTACTCCAAATAACTTGACAGATTTAGATGACCCCTCCTGGAGGGCATCACCCTAAATGTGGAGTGGGGGGGGGGAATGGGAAGGGAGGGTGGTTGGGGTGAATGTGAGGGTAGGAGAGAGGAAAAGAGGGAAGGAAGGAGGGAGGGAAAGGAAACTGGCATCGATATGCAAATCGATATGTAAAATATAAATAAATAAATAGAGCCCTGTGTGTTTACATTGCTAAAGGAGAAAAAAAAAAAAAAAAAAAAAAAAAAAAGGGCACAACCACCTGTAACTCCAACTCCAAGGAATTCTATACTCTCATTTGGCCTCTGAAGGCACCACTACCCATGTGGCATGAACAACTACATGCACACTCATGTGTGTGCACACAAACACACACACACACACAACACACATACACACACATGCACACAAACACAGAGTAATAATTTTAGAAAGATCTTTTGATACTTAGATAAACAATTGAAGCAAAAATATACTTTAAAGGTAGATAAAATGGAAGGCAGCAATAACATTTTGTGGGAAAGCATTTCTTTTGAGTTTTTGACTAATTTTAAATTTCACTCCAGCCTTTAAACTTATAATTGATAATGGTTCAGGAAGGTCTTATGTCAGCCTTACATCTAACCTGTGAACTTTGATATAAGTGCTAATACTGGGGAAATTCACCTTCGCGTTTTTCTGCCACATGAAATAGCAGGCTTTTGGAGAATTTCATTCAGTCTTGCATCATATAGAAACACGCAAAGTTTCCAGTTTATTGAACCAGTTCATCAACTGCCTTTGTTTGTCCTCTCATCATACATTTATATCCAGAAGCACTGCTGCTGCAGTTCCTCCATAGTTTGGAGATGTGAGCTTTGCCCACATAGTTTGGAGATGTGAGCTTTGCCCCTTTTGAAGGTGAGAGTCTCTAAAGTCCCAAATTCTGTGTGAAGATCATATAGTCCATTTGGTTTCATCTATGTGCCTTTCTTATTCCCTTACTTTATGTTCATGTTTGTGTTTGATTTCTTTGTTTGGCTGAATTTTCTTTACTGTTAGCCTCTGGGTTTAAAGACAGAAGAAGATGCACAAACATTAACCCAACACTGCCATCTTGGCACCAGTGGGAATTAAGACCATTTATTGCTTTTCTGCACCATGGAAGATGGTTTCCTGGTTCCTTACAGTCATTTTCCGTATTGCAGCTTGCACTGACCATTTCTAGTGAATTTTAGATAGTCCCATTACAGGAATTACAGGAGGCTTTAAGGTGATAACTACCTTTTCTGGAGTCAACATTTATATAGGAGGCAGTGATGTTAATGATCACATAACTCAATGTCTCCCAAATACCAGCCATAAATTGGTGATATCTGAATCTCAGAGTTATGCTGAACTGGGTTCCTTTCTAATAGGTTTGAATTCCGTAGTCTGTGATGGTGGCTGCATCTCTGAACTGTTGAGAAGTTCTTTGCTGCATGTGATACAATTCTTACTTTGGAGTCCCCGTCTTTATTTTAAAGATTAGTACACTGGTATCTTAAGGTATCAGTTCAAGACCATACATCAGATGGGTCAGATTTTAGTTTTTGATGAGAGTCATGAAAGTATCATCTATTCCACGTGCCTCCTAAACTCATTAAGAGGCAGAAGCCATACCTGGTACCATTGACCTGGGCAGGCATTCATGATGGCTTGAACTGATAGTGAATGGTTTTCACAGCCTGATGTGACTTCTTAAGATAAGTCAGAAGACTTTAGGAATGTCCGCTGTGCTGTTTTGGGATTCTAGCTCCTGGAGCCCAGTGACTACGCTGCATGGAAGTGCAGGTCATCTGTGGAGGCAGCACCTGAAGCTCCAACCCAGAGTCTTTGCCGATGTCATCTTGTCATCCAGCACAGATTGTCCTCCATGTGAGCAAGACAGTGAATCCTCCTGTCCTGATGGGAATTGCCTCAGTGCACACCAGGAAAGTAAGTATATAGGGACAAGCCATTCCCTATAAACTGCAGCTTTGAGGGCAAGATAAATAAGTGATTCTTTTTTTTTAAGTTGTAGGATGGTTAGATAACTGATAACACTGGAATTAGTGCTTGGGTCAAGGACTAAGTAGTTAAGGAATCAACATTATTGTTACCATAATAACTATATGTGACCTATAAAATCAAATACCACCTAATCATGTGATATTTGTGATACTGTATTTGTGTATTTGTGATGTTGAGTACAGCCTTTGACCTTTCTTCATCTTAACCATTTTTGCTTCAAGTATGAAATTTTATCGTCTTTCATGACAATAAATGGGACATGTAAATGTGAAGACAGGTACACGGGAAAAGGAAGTTATTTCCATTGGGTTAAGTCCAGGAAGATGAACCCACATACTAGTGCGTTCCTATTTTCTTTTCAAAGGGTTCCAAGAAAGACATGAGCTTTTTTTTTCTTTTTTCTTTCTTTTCTTTTTCTTTTTCCTTAGTTTCTTTTCTTTCTCTTTCTCTTTTTCTTTTCTTTTTCTGTTTTTGTAAATCTGCAGCATCTTCAGTATTAATCTTATGTTGAGTTGCTAAGGGATTGCTCACAGAGAAGAGGAAGGAAGAATCCCCAAACAGGAGTTTCTTGCAGTGGATCCCTGCTGCAGGCTATTCTCATTAAAATGATTGGAAGTGACCACGGAGGCTGAGCTCAGCCAGCCTGGACTTTTTTGTTCTCTTGCTTCTGCAAGGAGCAGGTTTTAGCGCAGGCTCAGCAATTCAGCCACCTTGACACACTAATTACTTTCGCTGCCTGTCAAGCTGGGCATCTCAGCCTCCGCAATTAATAGCTCTACTTTCAATAAGCAAAATTGTATTTGACTTCAAAGGGGGAAATGAATGAATATGGGGGCATTTTTATTACTGTGTTGCCTTAGGGAGTTAGCTGACAATGTGGGTGGTAAGACAACCTACCTTCGGAAGCAGGATTTTCTTGGACCATCAGAGTATGAGGGGTCAAACAGTACCTGTCAGAAACAGGCCCCCACAGGTCGGCCTGGCTCACCTGACTTCAGAAGTAAAATCTGGTCGTTCTGACACAACTCCATGAAGCCTGTGATCCGCTTTGCGAACTCCACCACGTACTGGATGGCATGGGTGATCTGGATGGCACACTGCTGCCACAGTGCCTCCCTGGACTGAAGCAGAGGACACAGACCTTGAACTCACCTCCTCCAGGGAGCTGGCGAAATGCGTATGCCCCGCCCCACTTGCCCCTGCACCCAAGGTGGGAAATCAACTGTGAAGTACCCAATTTACCAACGCTAAATTAAGAGAAACAATGTTGATAGAATGCAAAACAACCATTTTCTTTAATATTTTCCTCATTTCTTATGGCAACGAACTTAGTGTGCTAGATGAAAACCCCATGTTGTGGAATAGTGATTATAGCCTACTTCTACACACACACACACACACACACACACACACACACACACACACACACACACACATATATTTTTTGTGGGAGCCTGGTTGACACCAAACATAATATTTTTATATTGTGCTCTTTCCCTAGGCTTTAAGAAACAAATATCCTGATTTTCTGGTTGTTGTTTGTTTGTTTATTTATTGGGGGGGTCGCTGTTTAGCCCAGCCCTGCCTAGAACTCTATGTAGAGCTCAAAGGGGCCTCAGATCTGCAAAATAATTGTTTCCTGGCCACCCGAGTGTGGGAATTGCAGGCAGAAGCTAGCAAACTTGAGTCAGATTTCTTTTTTTTTTTCCTTTTGAATAAGAAAAATTCAAAGGAAAGGCTTGAGTTCAAGTCAAGTCACTCTAATAAGTAATATAAAAGAACTTCAAATGTATTTTAATACTTTAGTCATTTTCTTTGAACTAAAAAATCTAAATCTATGTGATTTTGAAGTCTATGCTTTATGGATCTTCTAATGTATATTTCCATAATTATGCAAAAGTAGCAAGAATTAGATCGTCATGTTGTTTAAGTCATACATTTAGATAAGCACATTCACTTTCCTAAATTACCCTCAACTGGTAGAACTTGTGGTTGCCAGTCTCAGTTCGGAAGTCAAGTAATAGGAATCCTGAGCCCCCAGGAGTGATTCTTTCCCTTCAATGTGTCTAGTGTACTTAGAGAAACATTGTTATTACTGATAGTACAACTACCCTTTTCTAGGGCCATTTTCAAGAATGTTGGGCAAGAATAAAAATGCAGAATGCTTTGCTTCCTGTGTTTGTTTAGCAATGATGGGCATCTCTAATGTCTTCTGCTCCCTGGCTGAACCCATAGCTACCAGAAGTCCCAAGCCATCCGACAAAGGCACCATCTTCCTGGTCATTCAAATGGTGCAATGGCTTTCAACCAGGGCAGTTATGCCTTCTAGGGAACTTTTGGCAAGAAGCAGACATTTTTGGTTGCACAAGTGTGTCAAGGTTGGTATGTTGTGGATACTCTCAGTCAGCAGAAACCAGAGAGGCAGCAAATTGCCCCTACAATGCACAGGGTTAGCCCTATAGACAAGAATGCTCAGGCCAATAGACAAGAATGCTCAGGCCAAAAATGTCAATAATGGTGAGAGAGAGAGAGAGAGAAAAAAAAAACCAAACAAACAAAACAGAAATGGGCAATTACAGAGACAATCCCCATGGTTCGTGGAGTACCTTGCTTTGATATGCTTTTATTTCCTCATAGGTGTGGGTCTGCCATGCCAGCTGATGTAGCTCTTCCATTGTGTACTGACATGTCTCCAGATGGGACTTAATAATGTTCTGTGCAATTCGATCTATGAGAAAAAAAATCAATTTGAGGTTTTGTGAGTAAAATCTTTCTACTCCAAGAAATTGTTTCTAGAAGATGCTCTGTAATGATCCAGCTAGTGATAGGCTAATTGCACAATCATATGAAAACATCTAAACTCCACCTCCCACCTTAAAACATCCAAACTATTGTCTTTCAGTCAAAAGTTTCTCATTTCCTTCTTTGTTGATAGCTTTGGTGTCTTACAAGTTGTAAAACATTCAAATAACCGTTTGCCTTGAAAACACATCTTAAATTACCCTACTTACTTTTTGGCTGACAGTTTCTAACTGTCTAACTGGCTAACAGTTTAACACACCCATTCCAAATACTCAGAAATGTTTTGAAAATCAATGAAATCATTTTATTCTAGAAAGAGTGGATTAAATATACATGTGTCTCATGTATGAGTAGGTAACTAATGAAATTTGTTCATGGAGCCATTAAATTCAATCTTAAAACATTTTCATATGATGATACTTTTGTCAAAACATTATAAACAAGGAAATAATCACACCAACAAAAGAGGAGTTGTCTAAAGTAGTATTTTATATTGTCTTATGTTGCTGTTATTTTGGCTTTGATCGAGTAATAGAACTAGCAGGAAAGCTCTCCTAAAAACTAGCTAGGAGTCACCTGTGTCGGATGGAGCTGGCTAGTGGTCCTTCATAGCTCTATGTGCTGACTGAACACATGGAGAAGAGCGAAGCTAGGGGGTGTGCAGGGAATGATCAAGACTGCCTGGTCACTGCTGTTCTTGCAGAAGCTTTCTTGTGTTCCAGGTGCTTTTGGAAATATAAGCTAGCTTTTGCTCTAAACGGTTTCACTTTGTTTCTTTAGGATAGCCCTCAATGTGATGTGGGTACCGTATTTGTCCCTCTCTGTATTTCTGTTGTATATGGTGTGAAGTTGGTTGAGTTTCGGTGACATGGAGGTTAAAAAATATAAGTGTAAACTATGCTTCTAGTGAACTTTCTAAGTGAAATTCTCCTTAGCTGATTGTCTGACACATTGGAAACTCCGAGTCAGTGGTAGCTACAGTTAACACTGGCAGGACATCCTGTGTGATTTCTTGCCAGGGAAGCAGTGTGAACAGTTCAATGGAGACAAAAGAGAGTTATTTGATATTTTAGTCAGTGCTATTGATGGGAGGCATGTTAGTATTTTCATACCATCACTATATAGTGACAGAGATAAAGACTGAAAAAATGCTAACTTATGATGACGGTCATATTCTATTGGCTTCAACATCAACATTTCTAGCTTTTTAGCATATTGTATTACAAAATCCTTTCCTTATAAAATCTTATATTCAAAGTTTATTGATATCCTCCTATGTTATAAAGAAAGGTGGGAATTTCCCTCTACATTATATTAAAATAGATTGGTAAGTCATGGTTCATTATTTTTCAATTTCATTTGGGGAGTCTAATTATTTATATTCTAAAAATTAGATATCTGTTCCCCAGTAGTTATGTAATGAATACCTAACACTAAAGCTTTACAATTTTTAGACCTAGAGTGGGCTTGTTTTCATCTTCAAAGGCATGTTGATTTGTTGGTGACTCTCAGGCTCCAGGGTTTATAAGCAAAAACTAGAATTACTACTTGGAATTGCCTTGTGACTGAGGATCAGCTCTTCCAGGTTATCTTCTGCGAACTATGGAGAAAAGTTTAAGAATCCTCTGGTGTTCTGCCACCTTATATTTGCAGTTTTATGATGTATTGAAGAGGAGCACAGGGATCATCAATATGAGGAAGAACTAAGAAGATTAGACATTGAGTCTGTACACTAACTCCAGGACTTGGTTGCTTGTACACTTGTAGTAAAGGCTTCCCTGACTTTCTGTGGCCTCCTCCAGAAGGGTTGGCTGGTCATACTGTGATTATCCCTCCTGGTGTTGAGTCCTGATTCTATCTAGGCTTATAATGTGGTTATTTTTGTGGAACTGTCTGTCTCAGATCCTGCAAGACTCTGAGTTTTCCAAGAACTAGAAAACAATTATGTGTTCACTTAACATTTTTTTTTAAGTCAACTGCTCTATATCAGGTCAAGGTATAGACTAAAACAACAACAAAAACATTGATTTTTATCTTGTAGGATCTAATAATATAATTATAGTATGATGAAATAAATGCCTTTAATTATTAGAGGATACTCAAAGGAGAAGGTGGTTGGTTCTATCTGTCGGAGAAAGAAGACAACATACAATCTGAGGGATGAGGAGTTGTTAGTCACATGGAAGAAAATAAGATGTACTGCAGGTAGAGGGAACAATATTAAGAAGGCAGAGCTAGAGATGTGCTCTAAGTTAGGTCATTTCAGATGTTATCCATTACACTTGTACGATCTTTAATTACTTACCACCAACTCCCTTTTTATTTTTTATTTTACTACTGTAGAGGTAAGGTTCAGAAAGAGTGACCTATTATGGATTAGTTTAGAGAGGGTTTGTACAGGCCATTCTGGAGTCAGCTACATTCTTTTTTTCTGTCAAAAAGTCCAGCATTTGCAATACTGAGTGTTTGGAGAAGATAGGGAGAAATGAAGCTATATGACGATAGGGACTGAACCCTTAATAGTTGTGTAAGAAGGCCCAGGCATTGCTTCTCCTAGGACTTTAGACTTGACCTTTTGTTAAAAGGTTATGGGGAGTCAGAGGATGCTATGAAGGAGGGGAGGGACATGATTAGAGTTTTGTTCCAGAAAGTGACCTTAGCTGTGGCAAAGAGAAGGAAGTATATTAGTGAGTGTGTGATTGGAATCAGGTTGTTGTGAAAATGGAGGTAAGATATAAGCTGCTCTGGACTAGGTCATGACAGAGAAGGGCTAGTAGGTTTGGATGCAAGACAGTTCTGAAGGAAAGCAAACAGGACTAGAAGATGTGGTGACAAAACAAGAACAAAACAAGAACGTCAGCAATAGCAGGAACTTGACTGTTGCTAATTTGTTATACATAGGTTTGATGATGTCCATACATCCGTACTTCCATGAATCCATCTATCATCTTCCATCAAATACCATCCAAACACCCTTTTATTCCCTTGTTTCACAAAAGGTCCAAGTTAAGGTTGATCTTTTGTTTGATAACCTTAAATTCTAAGCACCTAGAATGGAGAGACGTGAACATTATGAAAGTACTATAATTTTCCACATCCTTGGGGTAGGAAATAGCTCAAATGTCTTTTGAACATAAGGCTCATACATGGTGGTGAAGGCAGCCGCCACTGCAGTGTGTGGGACAGCCATGTGCAGAAATGAACTTGGTTCTTTCAGGGCCAGGTCAGGAAAGCACAGGGCAAAGCTATTCCTGGTTTTAAAATAGTGTGGCTGGGAGAGCTCATTCTATCCCTTAGAAAGATGCTTGAACATCAGAACAAGATAGTTTTCTTGGGCTGAGAGTCTGCAGTTGTGAAAAGGACTTAAAAAGAAAGGACAAAGGAGAGACAGTGAGTGCAGTATGCAAGTTCCTGCTGGGAGCCAAAGGAGCTTCAAGAGTCCCTGCTGGAAAAAGAGAAAAGGTAATAGCAGATGCAGTCCCCTCCAGGGACAAGCCACATGAGAAAGTCCAGACAAAGGAGGCTGGGGAGGAGAAAGAACAGAGGAGATGGGATCTTACTGGGCAATCACACACCCTTCATCTCCTACCCTGACTTGGATTGCAGCTACTTCTCAGCAGTTGGCTTTTATTGATTTCTTTAACTAGCTTGGGCTGAAGATGGTGCATGGTGAAAAAGGAGTTGGCATGAGCTGTGTTTGGATAATGAGTTCAACAGGAATATGACAAACACTGCCATGTCTAGAGGTGGCGCACTTGGACCCTACACTTTATGAGATCAGGCAGAGGGAGGAAGGTGATTCATCCATGCTGGTAAACGGACTTCTAAGGATAACACAGCTGCAACTACTCTGTGAGGACCCTGTACACGTGCTTGGTACAGCAGAGGTTGCTCAGTTCACTGAGAGTCTGACTGTTGCTTTAATTGCTAATAAGAAGGTGTTGAAGAGTGAGAAACACAAAAAGATATGAACAGTGCTGTCTTCTGCTCCCAACTATGAGGAGGGATGGTGATTCTAGTGCAGGTCAGGGAAGCGGGCTGCGTGATTCCAGGCTAATGTTAACTCCATCATGTTCCTGATCTTGTATTTATCAACTTAATGGAAAACATCTTTCTCTCTGCCTTCCAAGTATGTTCCCATATGGATAAACATACATTTCCCCGCTTTCAGTGAAATTACTCTTAGATTTATTTGTATTGTGGTTCTGATTCTTTTCTTAGGGAAAATATTATTGGAATCCATGTTTTAAAATTAGTAGAACTTATAAATTCATAAATGAGACAAAAATATTACAAGGGTAATTCACATGAAATAATAATCCCTGAAAACTATCATTTTTGGTGAAAAGATATAAAATAGTATCTCTAAATTGCCACACTTCCTCAGAAGTCTTAAGGGTAATCTTAACTCTACTATGATGTGGGCAATGAGAAGAGAGAAATTAAATTTTTTAAAGGGAAAATGGAATAAAATTGATGGTAATTCTCTGTAGTGTATGCAATAATTATGGATGCCTGGGGCTGGAGTTAACCTCCTTCCTCTATCTCCAGATGGTTTGAACCCAAATAATCCTGTAAAGCTTTCTGTCTCTATGACTTTGTCTCATTGTCTCTGTCTGTCTGTCTGTCCCCTTCATGTGTTTGTCTGTCTCTTTCCCTTGCTCTGAACCTTTTATATTTCTCATCCATCTTGAGTACTTCTCACTGTAATGTATTCAGTGAGTCAAAGTGGAAGAAAGACTCCCCATTTAAAGGCCCGTTCAGCACAGTGTGGTTGAGATGGGGGAGAGTTTACTCAGCTAAATTGAGTTTTAAAGGTCAGTTATACTGGATGACATAAAGAGATGCCTGGAAGATATTTTGAAGCAAAATTACAGAAATGTATGGAAACCAACTTTTTCTTGCATACCAATTCAACAATAAAGC